TTTATTCTTGGAAAATGATTTGTTGCACCCAGCCATACCGAAGTACACCGTGAGTGAGTCACACGCACGACCGCCTTGCACAATGCTATGTTTGTCGTTTGTAGCAAATCTATTAATAGCCGATGCCAAGACTCGACAAGGAAGCCCAACTAAGTATGATGTCATCCGTACCTACGGGTTTAGTAGTGCGTAAGACTTCGGTTGCGTTCCGGACACGCATTTTTTCGAGCTGGGAAGGATGAGGCGGTATGCATTGTGACTCACTGGCAGAGCCTCAATCACCAAGAATGCCACCAAGTTGCGCTCAAGCTGATAAGGAGGCGGTGAGCAGGTGGTACTGAACCTTGGATGTCTCCGAGTTCGGTTCTAGCCGCAGTGACGCCCAAGAGACGCCGTTCGATTTGCTGTATAAGCGTCTAATACCAATCTAATACAAACGCTAAGCTATATATCTAGACGCCCACGACTCCATCGAGCTCCCGATCACACCGGTTCAACATTATAATACAATATTTGCCGACATACAACCCGACACGACCGGGTCACTGCAAATATTGACCGACAACAGTTGGTAACGAGGTGCTGGTGAATGGATGTTTGCGAGAACATGGTTGTCTATCGCCTGTACTGCGGCTTGCCTTTATTTTTATTAGCATGACATTATTGATAAGTACTACCACCCGCCCAGAGCATTATTCAAGGATCGGTCGGAACCATTTCTATCCTTGCTTGACCGAGGACAGGATCTCCATTGCCCAATAACAGCGCCAATTCCTTCTCATCCCATCCTCTTTGTCTCGCCGTCTCTTCAACCCTACGTACAATCTCCCTGCTCCAAAGTGCATTATCCTCTTCTGATTTGTCGTCGACAACTTCCAGGACATCGACACCCATCCCTCCTAATAGCTCACCCAAAGGGTACGCACCTGCGAACTCCCAATCAAGGACAGCTTGCACCTGCGTCCCGCGCATGATGATATTCCGACCGTGAAAGTCTCCGTGCACGAGCACATATGGCTCATCGTCAGCGACAAAGCTGGTCTCTAGCTGACACTTCTTATCTCGTAGCTGCTGCACAAAATCTTCGACAGACGTGAGTTCGAAAAAGTCGGAATCGATATCGGACGCGGGGGCATGGGTATAGTAGTATATCTCTTTATCGTAGCAAGCGAGAATGTATTCCTTTGTGGTTTCGTATGGACCGATGGGGTAGCATCTATTGGAATGAAATTTACCCTGTCCAAAAATGTAATACATCAATCGTCAGAAAAGTCAGATGCAAAATGTGACGAAGACTCACCCGTCCCTTGAAAAGTTTGCTTCCCTCTACGGTCGGTCCAAGGGCATGGCTTGTGGGACTGGCAAATCCGCCTATAGCACTGAAACGCGTCTCCGCCATATCAACGATTATCTCAGCGATCTTCAGGGCGACTGAATGTTTCTCCGCCTCGGTATAGCGAGTCCATATACTGCTCAAAGGCTCGCCATCGATGTATTCTTGAGCGACAAATGGGTTCAGTCCGTCAGCGCGAAATGCGTATATCTTGGGGACTGGAATATTTGGACAACGTGCGGATATCAAGGATATGGAAGCGACTTCGTTTAATATCTGGTGAGGTAGGAGAGTATCTGGTTTCGGAAGGCGTAGAGCAAAACACTTGGGTGTCGTGGAGTCGTTCCAGCCTGAAAGCTGTTTTAGGAAGAATTTAGCTCGACAACGACTGATCAGAAACTCAAGGACTTGCCCAGGATATCAAATATACCTCATTGTATCCCCCTTCACCAAGCTTCCTGTCCACTATAACCTCCGGTGTGGGTCTGTCATCGTCACCTTTACTGATGGCACTGCTAGCATCTTTGAGGGTCTGCTGTAGTACTAGGTTTGTAGTAAATGATTGCGTAATAGACATTGCAGCGCTCTTGCCAGTGGTGTTTCGTGAAAACCGTAGTTACAGAGTTTGCACTGGTGGTGGGTTGATGATGGTATTATGTGGATACCACTGGAACATTGAGTCCCATTGACTATGGTATTGATTGTTTATGAACGAGGAAAACCTTCGCACGATCCAACGTGGATTTGTCTAATGGTAACGAGCCTCCGCTCCTTGTCACGATCAGAACTTGGTGTCAGTCAGAGAGATCGCATTGCTGTGGAACGCCACAGCCACAATCGTCAGTTGACAGTGATCTTGTGTGAACAAGGTGATCAGGCTCCTATCCAGCACTAAGTAAGACATAAGCTGTAATACAATGATCATTCACAAGAAATGGTAACACAAGAGTTCGCTGCGTGAATATGCAAGCGGTCTCACTTCATATCTGATGAAGTAGCAGAGGCTGCATTTGTGGAAGGCGCAAAGCAAAAAAACTTGAACATAGAATTATCCCAGCTAAAGAGCTATCATGGGACTAATTAACTCGACAAGTGGCAAGAACTCTGAAGAACGACTTACCCGAGATGTACCCTCTTCGCCAAACGTCCTGTCCACTCTAGCTGCTGTATCATCTCCCCTCATTGCGACACAGCTTGCAACGTTGAGGTTGTCCAGTAGTCCCAGGTTTGTAGTAGTAGACTTTGGGATGAAACTGGCATTTCACTTGGTGCTTGTTGCATAAGCCAACATGCCTACAGACTTGGCAGTGGTGAGTTGTTGGCATATTGATACAGGTTAAGTGGATAGATGTTGAGTGTGATCATGAGTCGGAGCGACAATATATGTAATCTCGGCAGCAGTTCTGGTACCTTGTTATCAGTCCGACCGTCCCATCCGTCTTGTTTAGATGACCTCTCACTGACATGTGTGACTTGTCAGGACTGTTTGACTACTGTATCGGTGTGTCCAATTTGAGCTCCAAGGGTTTAGATGTGCAAGCAGGATTCGACCACATGACTTCACCTCCGCACCTTGGAATGGAGTTTTTTTCTTGCGACCAGCAGCTACATCAACGGTGTGTTTCGAGCTTTCTCCTGAAAATAAGTTGAAATTCCGACGTCAAGGCTGCAGCGGTATTGATCGTGACGCGTTTGAAGGTCAAGTGCTGAAATGCAGTGAACGGAGGGAATTGCGCCAACGAAGGGAAGAGGATGGGCTGGTAGGAGCTGCAGGACGAGGCTCGGTGTCGGTATCAGTGTCCCAGAAGTCCTTTCCCTATACCAGTGTCAGACCTGCAAGAGACGAAAAACAAGAGATCATACTGACATATATCGCCAAGCCTCTGTTCACGCGCTGCTGCTTGGAGACCTGACTAGCGTGCAAGATCTGACGAGACGGATAAGCAAATGAGTAGGGCATTGACAACTGAGCATCTATCGATCGAACTGGATGTCCCTAGTAAAGAAGATACCATAAGAAAGAGAAACACATAAAGCTTTCCCTGAGATTCGCAGGGTCTTGCTTCAGCCGCAAGCTGAATTATAACCAAACAAACATACTCACATGATCATCCCTGCATGTCTGAGACCTGCATCGAGGCTCTACATATATCTTTGCGCCCAATCCAACACTGATGATATATCTTCCATCAGGGGACATGACAACATGCGTGAGTATATCGTCGTGCAAGAGCGGGTCACTGACTGGCTGATCGGTCCTGAGATCCCAGATACCAATCGAGTAGTCAGCTGCTGCGCCAACAAGATAGATCTGAAAGCCATTTTGTTAGTGCAGCAGCATTAGGGGAATGACAGAAGGAGTGTACGACCATCGATTCATTTGGAGATATTGCCATTGAGCCTACCATTCTTCCGTTACTAGTCCAAGGACTCCCCACTGCACTCCATCTATTGTCCACTGACAAATCGAACCATCGCCTGACGCGCTCAGCATATTGTAGCTTGTGTCCAAGCAGGCAAGGCCTCGGATGAATTTGGAATGACCTTCGATGACGCACTCTGGCGTCAAGCTCCCTGGTGGACATCCTGGCATTGGTTTCTTCCATGACGTGATCTAGGTATCGTAATTTACGAAGTAGGACAGACCAAACGATGAGATGTGCTGTTCGCAATGAGTCGTCCAGGATGATCGATCGATCTGTGTTTCACATGAGTTCCTCGCTGTTAATGGCATATTCTCTGCCCACTTAGTCGCACCCCTGGTGAACGTTTCCAGGAAGCCATTACGAGTGAGACATCCTGATAGTATATTCTATCATCCGACATCTTATGCTGCCACTATTGGAGAGGAAACGCTCATTCCTACTCGTTTCTCGTCGAGTGAGTCAGTAGGTATGAAAATGCAACCACTCACCTTCCCAAAATATATCTTGGCGATACTGTGTGCCATAGGGTGGTGGATCTGTCTCCTTCATCCCGACGAAGTGCGCTGACCACCGGTGAGCTCGACATCACACCTCTTTCTCTACCTCTTCGTTGTGCTGATTGCCCGACTCGGCCATGTCACTGACAAAGAAAGTTTTTAATTATCGCACTCTGTACAGACGCATTGATAGAGTTCGATACTACAGACATTGAATCGTCGAAGGCGAGGAGAGATGGTGAAAGTGATGAGGAGACCTGCTAGATGGTCAGCTTGAGTTGCATGCTGATGGCCGTGCTTTGAATGTCGGGGCAGTTCTCTACAAGTTCTAATAGATTGTCATACATTATGACAAGGAGCGATCAAAGTATGGCCGCGAGGAGTCCACCGGACAACCGAGTGCATTTCTAATATATAAGTGCGTATATCTTGGGGATTGGAGCATACTTGTCAAGGGTATGGAACTTTGTTTACATAATATCTGAGAGAGGAGAGTTAGTTTCGGAAGGCGCAGAGAAAAAAACTTGAATGTCACGAAGTCGCCCCAGAGAGTTACACATCGTGGGAATTTGACAAGGAGTTGACTAGGAAACAGGAGGGTTTCACCGTTTCGGAGAAAGGACTTGTGCAGTTTGAGTTCTAACGCGAGCCTGCGAGCATAGAGCTCAAACTAGTGCTTACTAAGCGAGTGAGCGCCATAAGCAGTAACGCGTAGTTATACGCGTACCTTGTCTTTATCCTTATTGCGCCTTCACTCGCTCACTTTTACTCAGTTTGAGGATTCGGCTACATACATAATTTTCGTATTATTACCACTATTCTTATGACTTCGACAGAATCGCCGAATCCTGGGCATCCTGAAGGAGCCGGAGGAAAAGACACAGGGACCTTCATCCGGCAGGGAGAAGGCCTGTTATCTGACGAGTATGCGTCTAGAATAGCGTCGTCCCTCGCGAAGAACAACCACAAACGCGTGAATCTTCACGATCCAGATGCTGTAGAAGCAGAGAACACTGCGCGCGCAGAGCGCAATCTGACAAGAGCTCACCTAAGGATAGATGACAACCATATCGAAGATGTTTCGGATGACGAGCCTATGCTCGACGAAGCTTCCTCCCCGGAGAAGGACTTCACCACTAAACCCACCATTCCTGGCTACATCCTTGAAGCGGTGGACTTCATAGGGTCGTTAACACCTACCACAAAGAGTATTCTGGCCGCGCTGACATCCAAAGGACAAGCGCCGGCTGCCGTTGGTTCAATGGAAGCCTCCAGTTCCGGAGCCGCTTCTGACGCACCCGTCTTCACTGAAGCGAACACGCGCATTGTCGACGGCGAAGTAACCGCCTTCGAAATTCCTCGCGTCCTCTTGAACCTCGTGAGGTCTAAGGTACACATCCCACTTACATTACTCACTCTGTCGTCTCTCCGCAAGATTCACGAGGACCCAGCTAGCGTTAAGATGAAGAAAGGTCTGGTGACAGACGACCCAAAGTTATTCGTCATGGACACCTCCTCTGGTTTTCCTCCGGAGTCGAGCTTACCACCTCATCTTTTCTACGAAGCTGCCTCCAATTTCATCAGATTGCTTGGGCTGGTCGCCGACGACGCGACGGTGAAGCGTTTCACGGACCACCGTGACTTCTGCCTATCGAGGGATGAATTCGGAGACAATTTCGATTCAATCCTCGCCTTCGACGTGGAAATTCGCAGGCGCTTTTTCAATACGCATACTTTCCCTTCTCGAGCTGCTTATCTTGATAGATGGAAGAACGTGTTAATCAAGACGTCCCTCTCTCAACAAGGCTCGAGCAGCAATCGCTACCAACCATACCCGTCCCGCAAACCAGAAGGTTTTTCGTCGACGAGCGTGTCGAACGACGGAAAGTCCTTTCGGAGGGGCAAGGGAGAACAATCATCCGAGCATCTTCTTTGCGTTATCTGCGGTAGACTCGGACACAGGGCCAGCAGTTGCACACACATGCACACTGCAAAGAACGCACCTGTCATTAGCATGTGGACTGACAAACTCATCCTTAAGTCCTCCTCAGCCCCAATATGCATCTCCTTCAACATCGGAAGGTGTTCACCAACCAAGCACTCGAGTGACATCGTCCACGTTTGTTCCATCTGCGGAAGCAAGAGTCATGGAGCCAATTCAAAATCCTGCATCTGAAGTCTTACGGAAAATTGTAACGCCTTACGTCCCCAAAGCTTTCGACACTTTCTTGCAGCGCTTCAACCTATCTGAAAAATATCCTGATATCGTTTTCAACATGCAGCACGGTTTTCCCATCGGAAATATCCCACCCCCGACTCGTACTTACATTCCAAAAAATCATAAATCGGCTTTGGAGCACATCAATGTTATCCGCGCGTATTGTCACGAGGAAGTGGCCCTTGGAAGAATGTCCGGCCCATTCTCAACAGACGAAGTCTCAAATATCCTTGGTGGACACTTCGTATCGTCTCCGTTGGGCGTGGTAGAGAAAGCGGGAGAGCCAGGAAAATTCAGAGTCGTTCGTGACTTATCATATCAAAATTCTGACGGCTATTCAGTCAACGGCTTCTTGGATTCAGACGACTTCCCCACCGAATGGGGAACAGCAGCTCAAATCGCTGAGATTGTTAGTATTCTCTCTGTCACGTTCGCACGCTCAGATGCTTAGTTTCTCGCACGCCACGGCGTTTTGCTCTTGCACGCCTTGGCGTCTTGCTCTTGCACGCTTCGGCGTCTTGCTATTTGCACGTTTCGGCATCTTGCACCTTGCACGCTTCGACGATATTTCCTTCTTTGCACGCTTCGGCGTTAGTGCTTCTTGTACCTTGACCGCATATATGCGCCTTTTGCATTCGTTCTGACCTTGTGTGACACACAGGTAGCCTCAGCTCCTCCAGGAACACAAGCCGCCACGCTAGACATCGAGGCTGCTTACTGCACCGTTCCCGTGTGGCCTCCACACAAACGTTTCCTCGTAGTCGAAGTCGATGGGCAACTTTTCATAGATCACGTCTTCCCTTTCGGACTTGCTACAGCAGGAGGCGTCCAAGGTCACGTAGCTGACGCCACCGTGGACATCCTTCACTCGTTAGAACTCGGACCCATCAAAAAATGGGTCGACGATCACACCTTCTTCAGGTTCGCTATTAGCGGCGGCTTACTGCTGTCAGATGGTTCCTTGTCCCCGTTCGTGTACAAACACGGCCTTGCGGACATTTACGCGCGTTCGAAGCCCTTAGGAATCCCGTGGCACCCAAAGAAGTGTCGTGATTTCGCCTTTATCTTCATCTATCTGGGCTTTCTTTGGGACCTAATTCAAAGGTCCGTCGCACTTCCGGACGAGAAGCGGGTCAAATACCGCAACAAGTTAATAGCTATACTTGACCTGCTGAACAAAGGATTCGGCATTTCGTTCAAGGATGCAATGAGTCTTAATGGTACCCTATCTCACGTCGCCTTTGTTATTCCGCACGGTCGTGCTTACTTAGCCAACCTTTGTACCTTCATAGCATCATTTCCTTCAGGCGCGAAGTTCGCCAAACGTCACCCACCTCCATCAGTCAAGAACGACCTCAAATGGTGGTTCAACACACTCTCTCTCCCGTCCAGCGCTCGTAGCTTATCCCCACGAGGAGCGCCGAAGGACTTAGACCTATGGGTCGATGCATCGACGGACTGGGGCATAGGTATCGTTTTAGAGGGCAGATGGAACGCCTGGACTCTAGTCCAAGGCTGGAAAGGAAGCGGTAGGGACATAGGTTGGCTTGAAGCGATCGCTGTCGAGCTTGCGGTGAGAACGTTATTCGACCAAGGCGTAACGAACTCGACAATAATCATACATTCGGACAACCAAGGCGTCATCGGAGCCTTCGGACACGGACGTAGTAGGAACTTCCACGTCAACCTTTGCATTCGCCGCGTTGAAGCTCTTGCAATGGCTTCTAACGTGCTTCACTTGCTCACATACACAGAATCAGCAAAGAACAAAGCAGACCCCATCTCACGCGGCGAGGTTGGGTCCCTTTCTTCTCATCTACCTTCCCCAGAGCTCCCGAGCGAGCTTATTCCCTTCATCTTGTCCTATGTCCAGTGACCAAGGACACTTGGCATCGACTCATGCCGATGCCGTTGTAGCTTTGGCCCTTTTGAAGAAGGCGTTGGCATCTCCTCCTTCGATCGGGGCGCCGCCCACTGTTACACACCTTCGTAAAAAGCCAAGAAAACCAAAATCTGGAAATGAAATCTCCGCATCAGCCTTTCGCCCTCATGTTCTTGCGCGCGACCGCCTACGTCTATGGTCCGCACCGCACTCAGACTCCTTCCGCCTTTCAGCCTTAAAACAATTGCCTCTAAACGACGTATTGCAGCTTTTTGACGTCATGTTAGTATCCATCGAGACCAAAACTAGAGAGAATTACGGCGCCGGGCTACTTCGCTTTCACCAATATTGTGACTCGAGACACATTCCCGAGGCTCGCCGCATGCCAGCATCAGATTTTCTACTCGCATCCTTTATCGCTTCTTGGGCCGGAAAGGTAGCCGCAACCACAGCACAAAACTGGTTGGCTGGACTACACTTCTGGCACAATCTTCACGGTGCTCCATGGTTTGGACATAGCATCCTTCGCTCAGCTTCCGCCGGTCTCGGAAAACTCGTTCCAGACTCATCGAAACGACCCCGTCGTCCCCCGGTAACCTTAGAACATATGCATGCACTGTTTCGTGGTCTTGATCTCTCCAACGCATTTGACGCGTCCGTTTTCGCTGTCGCATGCACAGCCTTTTGGTCTTGCTGCAGGTACGTACACTATTGAATTATTGGAGTTAGAATGCTCAATTATTCGAAGACTCGGCGAACTTATTGTTGTTAGTTCCAACGTTTTCGACCCTTCTCGCCATGTCACTCGTTCTGCTCCCTTTGCTCGCCGTTCGCCCTCAGACGGAACCAAATACTCCGTTCTTCACATTCCCTGGACGAAAACTTCGCATGTGGAGGGAGCCGACGTTATTTTATCCAATCTTGACGACATAACGAATGCGTTCATGGCTGTCGACCATCATCTTGCCGCCAACGCAGACGTTCCTTCTAACGCACCCTTCTTCGCATATGAAACCGCGGACGGCAAATGGGCCGCAATGACGAAACCGTGGTTTCTGGCACGATGTAATCAAATCTGGAAGGCAGCCAACTTGTTAGAACTGACAGGGCACTGTTTTCGCATCGGTGGAGCTACCGAACTACTCCTACGTGGAGTCCCACCCGATGTTGTCGCAGTTCAAGGCCGCTGGAAGTCACGGGCTTTCCTAGAATATTGGCGCAAGATCGAATCAATTTTGCCTCTTTTCGTTACTTCCTCGTTCTCAGACTCACGTACAGCTATGGTAAATTCGTCAATGGACTCATACGCGCATCGTTATAGCTAGTTATTCGTACATATTGTCACTCTGTTTGTTCAATCCAGCGCAATTTGCTCGCATTTGGGGGAGTCGTATGTTTCGAACACGACTGTTTGTAAGCTTTGCTCGGATTGGGTTTGGTCGTGTTTCCGAATCATTAATCCAAATACCTCACACTCGAGGATTCGGTTGTTTTTGTTTTTCTTCTCGCAGCCTCCGGTCTCGTTTCGGCAGTCTCTCAGTCAGGATCCAGAGCTTAGAAAACCCCTCGCAAACGCATCATTTCTAGCACATCACGTGATTGTCGAAAACGCGTTTACCTGGTTAAAGTTCTGATTCAATCCCTGACTCAGTTCGCAGAGACATCACCATTCTCGTTCGGAGACCTGCACCTTTCCACTCGGCAATCACCGAGTAAAACAACCGAAACCCCTCCCCCCAACTGGCGAAATTCGTTTAAAGCATAGCACCACGTTAACCCTGTTCACTTTTATAAGTTAAGACTCGTATCGCAGATTGTTAGACATACGCACTATACACATCGTCCGTTAATGCTACTCAGAGAACCTTAGCGCACATTCTCACGCTGACCTTGTCTAACGATCTGCCTTAGTCAGCTTCAGCAAGACGCAGCATATAGTAAGCGCCCAAGATATCCCCCTTGGCCGAGCTTTGTGGAGGAACGATACACGCGGGAGGTTTTACGACACGCTAGAACAAAGGTACGAGTCTCAGTATTCGTTTCGAATCTCTATTAACAATTGTTTGTACCTAGAACAAAGGTACGACTAGATGTACGTCAGCGCTTGCGCTCGAACGTTACAGTGGGACTTGTACTTACGTCTCAGTATTCGTTTCGAATCTGAGACGTTTCGACGAAAAACAGCGTCCTCTTATACGGTGAGTCTGCCAGCAATAGCTTTGATGAAAAATATATACTTAAAGAACGAAAAGATTGCCGACGTTGACACGTCGTCGACGTTCTCCGTTTGGAGACGCTCGCACTCGATGTGCTCTATTCTTCGGCCGTATCGTCCTTTCCTTTCTCAGCTCTCTCTCTCTCGGCCTTACTTCCCTCGGACACATCGGCTCTCAACACTCCCCCTCGAGCGTTATCCAAACACATCAATGTCCTCAACCTCTGGAGTCGGGGACGTGCCAATGGCTTCGTGAACGCGTCCGCGACATTGTCGTCACTGGGGCAGTAGATTATCTTGAAGGTACCGTCCTTCACGTGGCCGCGTACGAAGTGGTATCGCAGGTCTATGTGCTTGGTGCGCGATTGGAATTTTCCCGTCGAGACTAACGCTATAGCAGCTTGGTTGTCGCAGAAGATGGGTGTGGGGAGGTCTTGGACGTCGTAGAGCTCGCGGATGAGGAGTTGCAGGTAAAGTACTTCCCTTGCCACGCTGGTCAACGCTATGTACTCAGCTTCAGCTGTTGACAGGGCTATGATAGGCTGTTTGCGCGCGCTCCACGAAACGGGGCCTCCATGGAGCAGTACGATGTACCCGCTCATGGAGTGCCTATGTGGCTGCGATGCCCAATCGGCATCGACAAACGCCTCAATTCCTCCCTCGCTGGATCCCAACGTCAGCTCATAGTCTGCGGTGCCTTTCAGGTACCGCAGGGCGCGTTTGGTGGCCTCCCAATGGGGTCTCCCCGGATTCCTCATAAATTGCGACAGTGTTGCCACCGCAAAAGCGATATCTGGCCGGGTACTCGTAGCTGCGTACATTAACGAACCGATCGCGCGTTGATATGGTATGTCTCGCATAGCTTGGAGTTCGGCGTGTGTTGCAGGGGACTGATCTATGGAAAGGACAGTACCTGGTTCCATGGGCGTGTGCAGGACCTTCGCGTCCTCCAGGTGGAACCTTTCGAGGATCGTCTCGACGTATGCCTTCTGTGAAAGTGTCAAGGTGCGTGCTACGCGGTCCCTCGTCACCTTCAGCCCCAATAACCAGCTCAACTCCCCTAGGTCGCTAATCTCGAAGTGCGCGCGCAGCTCGGACTTAAAC